GAAGTACATGAAATCACCAGTCAGCACAGGCTCTTCCTGGTAACCGATAGTGCTGGAAAACTGTATAAATGCTTGAATTAAGTGTCGGAGAGCCGTGACAAGATGGGCAAGAGACGGTTGTTTTGTTTGCAAAACACCGGCCAAAAATATTCATGCCCGTGCTGCCCCTTGCCCCCAGTCTTTACATAAGGAGGCTGGGGGTAGGCATCGTTTGCTGAGGTTTCTAGCCCCTTGCTGCCCTGCAAATTAGCAGCTGGGATCTATTCACAGGCTTTCCCAGGAGTTCATACAAACAGGCTCCCGCCTTTGTTCGCAAGCTGTTCACTTCAGCAGCTTGCAGCCAACTATTCATGAGGGATGATTGCCGTCGGGGGTGGGGGAAAAAAAAAATACCGCCACATGATGGAGGGCGGCATTGTGAGGCCTCAAAGGCTCGGTCCGTGTCCACGTGCACCCCGAAGGGACCAGACCACCTTTTGTGGACACCGACCCACAAAATGCAGAACAGGCACTACCTTTGTTCCTGCAGCCCAGCTTGCTCCCCGGGCTCCCGCTCTGTTCGCCAGGGTCTGCGGACCCCCTAGCAGCCCCCTGCCCGAGGGGAGGTGCTCAGGCCCCTGGACCAGTGGCAGGCCAGGTTGCATTGCTGTGGGCAAGAGCCGGGGTGGCGCTCTGCCCATGAATCTGGCGGGGCCAGACAAATCCAAATGCAAGTGCATTTGCAGCAGCCTCCTGGGAGGGTAGACCCCGTCCTGGCAGCTCGGTGGAGACCTGGGGTGAGGGTATCCAAGTGCTTTCCCGAGGCAGAGGAAGCCCGTGATGCTGCAGCACCGCAGGGAGGAGCTGGAGCCGTCTACGAGACCTCACCGCCGCGTCCCATGGTTAAAACGTGCCCCCTTTCGGCAGCATCCTTGCAGGCGAGAGAGAGGTGCTACAGGACCGTTCGGGACGGGGAGGAAAGGTTTCTTGTTCACGGGATCATAGACCGGTCGGGCTGGCAGGGCTTTCAGGAGGTCGCATCGAAGTCAGCCCCCAGGACCATCCCCATCCAAGCCTGTGATCACTTGCAGTCAACCCTGCTGCACGAGTGCTCCAAGACGCTGAAAGCCCCCAAACCTGGCACAGGTAAAGCAGGGCGACAAGGGCTGGCAGTGCCCCGACACTGTAACAGGGGTTACAACATACCCAAGAGATGCCAGGCCCCTACAGAGGAAGGTAAGCCCCACCACCCCCATCCATCCTCATGGGGGGGGGAATTTCTTCCTGATCCCAGTGCAATGTCGCTCTGACCCCAAGCAGAGGGGCAAGACCCTCTGGGATCGCGTCCCAGCAAAAGCACTGGCCCAACCCAGCTGCCATCTCCAGCCAGCACCCAGTGCCTCTGAAGGGAAGATAAATAATTAAATGAGAAAGCCACCCAAACCCCAGCCCCCAAAGCAGCAAAACACATTGCTTCCTGGCCCTATGTGGCCAAAGCCCAGAAACCTGGAGGGGGAAAAGCCACCAAAACACCCTCCAACACTGAAGCTCCCTAGCGTGCAGTTCATCGGCTCCTGGGATCCCCAGAGAGAAGTGGGGCCAGACAGGACCTCCGTGGGTCACATCTAGTTCAACCCCTACCCGAGGCAGGATTAGCCCTGTCCAAACCATCCCAGACAAATCCATCATCTAAAAACTCTTCATAAAACCACCATCGGCCCCAGCACAGCACCAGGCATCACATCTGACCCTGGCGCAGGGGAGCCGCCGCAGCCGGCGTTTTGCTTTCACAAGAAGTTGATGTACAGGAGAGATCCGAGGAAGAGGGCCGTGCCCCCACTACAAAGGGGGGTAACCCCACCCCGTCCATACCCATCTGACCAGGGGATAACATGCCTTCAACCCCAAATGCAGGGTTGGTCTGACCCCGAGCAGAGGGGCAAGGCCCCCCGCAACTTTACAAGGTTCAATTATTAGGCATTCAAATAGCAACACCCTGAGCTTCCTTGCTCTGTCCACATGATGGGAAGGAGCTGTGCAAGCCATAGGGATCCATCCCATGCCACTGTTTTCAAAGGGGGAAGGGGAACAGCTGCTGGCACCTGGCCCTTACCCCTTGCAACCCTAGCCCTGGCTTCACGTTACAGTGGGTCAGCTCTTCCGATACCATGATGGGAGCAGACAGACTGGGCATGCACCGCTTATCCCAGTATAATTTAATACTAGCACAGCTGGGGTCTGCCCAGGGCCTTCAACACGGGGATTTGCTCTCTAGAAAACCCACGCGATTAGAAGCTACTGGCAACTCCGCTTATCCAAGCCAGGGCTGAGTGAGAACGGCAAAGAACAGCATGAGAGAAACTGAGGCACCATGGAGGCATATGGACAGCAGGGGAGCAGCCAACAGCTACGCAACCTTAAGCCACTGAATTGCTACTGGAAAGGCACTCAATTAGACAAAAAGTCTTGGATGAGCAAGTGGCACCTCTATTTACCCATGATCCAGCTAGATCAGGAGCATCTCAACTCACCCAGTTGCAGCCACCTCTGGGGCGGAGGCTGGTGGATGGCATTTCCATTGCTAGCACCGATCAATCAGTCGGCCCCAGAGGCTGGGCAGGATGGCTGCTTCCGAGAAGCCGGAGAGACGGCCCCACACCCCTCGAGACACTGTTCCTGCCAGCAAGCCATTAGCTGGCGGAAGCGCATCCAATATGCAAGCCGAGAGGCTGCCCCTGCCCATCTCCAAGACGCCACAGCAGGCGTGAGGGCCCTACCCTCTTCGCTTACCTACAGCAGCTGGGCTCAGAGCAGGGCACCAGGGGCTCCTGCAGCCTCTCAAAACACCCCTGCTGCACGGGGCAGCCTGCTCAGACTAGGAGCCAGGCCATGTGCAATAGCAAAGGTGATGAAGCAAGTGGATTGGGGCAGAACCCCAGCCCAGCCCTAGGGGCGCTTGTACACATCACGGTTTTTTGCCCTTTCTTGCACCCCAACAGCATCACTTTGCACGAGTGGGTTTTCTGGATGCTTTAAAAGTCTTTCTGGAGGACACCATCTGAGGTTGAGATCTTGCCACAACCCTACTGGGTTTGCCTGGGGAAGCACCAGCCCTGCCAGCTCCCCCCCTCCACCACATCCACCTTCATGCCAGAGCTGCCAGGTTTGCAGGGTGCACGGGGCTGCCTTGCAGTTCACCACCACCGCAGGTGGGCACACACCCAGCTGCAGACCTGGCTGCTGGGCAGGTCAGCCAGGCTTGCTCTGCATTTCTGCAGCTCCACCTTCCCCTGAGCCAAAGGCTGCGCGTGCCCGAGCCCTGGGCCTCCAGGGCATGTTCCTACATGGGGCATCTACTCCATCTGGATTTGCGCCCCCAGGCACTTCAGATCAGTGACTAGGCTGGCACTGAACCATCACCTGGGATGGAGAGGCCATCCAGATGTTGGTACCAGAGACTCCAAGCAGCTCTGCTGCAATATTATGGGCTGCATCTATCCTAATCCTCAATTATTTCCTGGCCAACACCCCCCACCTATGTAACCTTGTTCCATGGCCATGCAAGCACCCCGTCTCCTCTGCACCCGACTGGTTTGTAGGCATGCCCTCCTTGCCTGCAAAGCACCGGCACTCTGGATCTCTGCAAGTGGGTCCTAGCTCAAAGCTCAAATTGCCCATTTCCTGGAGGAGCAGAGGGGCTAGATGCCAGGCTTGGTGGGGAGAGGGGGTCATGCATCTGGGGGAGGCTCCAGGGTAGAAAGCCCTTGAGAAAGCAGACTTTCCTCCCAGGTTTCTGCAGCCTGGTAGTGCCCAGGGGCACCCTGCCGGAGACCACAACAGCTGGCAACAAGCCTGGAGAGAAGGCAGCTCCAACCCCAGCCCGTGCAAATCCCCTCAAGGGCTCAGCAGCCCATGTGCCACCCACGACACAAGGAGACAACCGACCTGGCTGCAAGGAGCTTAGAGCCGTGACGCCCCAAGGGGAGCCCTAATCCCCACAAGCAGCATCTCCCTGCGCAGGGATTAGCCCCGGGACAGGGCACACGGCAGGGAGGATCAGCCGGGCCGGTTCACGTCACCAAGCAGCACACAGCCCAAGGCTCCTCCGAAACCAGGTGCAGCCTTGCCCAGCCTCAGTCACCGAGCCGGCACGCTAGCACAAACCCCCACGGGCCAGTGCATCCCCGCTCCAAGTCACAGCGCAGGGGACCTCGGCCAGGCCCCACAGACTCCAGAGAGCCTTGCTCTCCAGAGCTCGAGGCAGGGCTTGCTAGCCCTCGGGAGCCAAGCCGACGGTCTAGCCCAGCCAGGGGGCTGCAGCAGCCTTGCCTCGAGACCACAGCACCACATGATGCACAGGATCAACCCAGACGCATCAAACAGGAAAACTCTAGTGTTGAAACAGCATGCCCAGGGTAGACACGGGTCTTTGCAGAAGAATTGCTCTATTGCTTTTCTGCAGTTGAAGAACCAGCATTTTCCAAGGGGTCACTCAGCTCCAGTGAGGTTGAAACCACTAGCCTAAATGCAGCAAGGCAGGCTTCCCCGCAGACCCTCAACCCATGGCACCCACCAAGAGGTGCCCAGGGCAGGGAAGACCCAGCCTTGGTTGCAATGTACCCCAGAGCTGGGAGACCCACAGCCCCACACCGCTGCTCCTACAAGCCAGGGTCTCCGAGCAGCAGGCTGGAAAGCAGCCTCCAAGCAGCTCGTTAACCAAGCGTTAGCACCAGCACAGGCCCCGCTACTTACCTGGGACCCGCAGCACCTGCAGCTCCTGAGCACCAGCTGCATTCATAGGGTCGAGGGCAGGCAAGCGCGAGGCTCGGGGAAGATCTTGAGGCTGGAGGGAAGGGCTAGAGGCCGGAGACTGAGCTAGGGCCATAGCAAAGCCCCCAGCCTCTAGCAGGGGCCTGCAGAGGCCCCAGCACCAAGCAAAGATGGAAATCTCTACCTACACCAGCCCCTAAACCCACCCCAAGGAAACCAGCCCTTTGAGGAGGAGCCAGCACACCTGCTTTTATCAGGTAGGGACAGGGGTGCAAGGTCTTCTGGGAGGGAGAAAGGGGGCAGGGCTTGGAGCCCTAGTGTATATAAGACACAGGGGCTGGCTGGTTTGGTGGGTATTTTTGTTTCTTTGGGTCTGGCTGTGTTGCCTTTGTGCCTATTAGTGTCTTAAAAATGGGGGTATAGTTGGGGGTGCCCTGCATGCAGGTCTTGTGCAGAAGGAAAGGGGGCAGCATGATGAGCTGGAGCCGATGGGGCAACTGGGGTCAGTCTGGTAGGGAGTGGGGTTGGGGGGAGGCATGAGAAGGGGCCATGTTCCCTGGCTCCCTGCACTTGCACCCCAGCAAGAGGCAGAGATGCTGGCAGAGGTGAGGTGTGACACCCTCCTGGGTGTCAGGGTGCCTCTAGCTCCCCTACAACAAACAGCCCCATAGTTCGCGCCCTGGTGACTTGCTGGAGAAGGACTTGAATAAGCTTCTGCCCACCCCCGACCTCCCAAATCCCCCAGTCTGCTCTGTGA